CTTTATAAGTTGGAAAAAGCTGGTGCTCTTTACTTCTCTGGATAAGTGATTTTTTGTCAAATCGCATCTTCAAGGTAAAAGTTGGGCAGATGTTCTCGTCAGAGTATCCAGTTCTAAGTGGTGTCCCTCAAGGCTCTGTCATAGGGCCATTACTATTCTTGGTATACGCCGCAGATCTAGGCAAAGACTTAAACTCTAATATTTCGTGTTATGCTGATGACACTAAGCTATACTCTAATCCTGTGTCAGATTCTACCCAGCTACAAAAAGACCTTGAAACTATTTCAAACTGGTGTGACACCTGGCTGCTTCCTTTAAACGCGGAAAAATGTGTCGTCCTGCATATAGGAAAAAATAATCCGTGCGTAAACTATTATCTAAACGGTAGTGTTTTAGCAACTGTGAACTCCTATAACGACCTGGGACTCATTGTGAACTCTTCATTAACGTGGTCAGAGTACATATCAGCGGTATGTAAACGTTCGAACTCAATGCTTTACCTATTAAAAAATTCCTTCACGCGTGTGAACTTTCAATCATTTTCTAAACTTTATACAACCTACGTTAAAACGTTGATGGAATATGTGGGACCTGCGTGGTGTCCTGATCTGGTTTCTGATCAAAAAAGACTGGAAAATGTTCAACGCTACGCTACTCGAATACCTTTCGGCAGAATCAGACCATCGTATGAAGAACGGCTTAATATGGCGAGTCTGTGTTCATTTTCCCACAGAAGATTAAGAGGTGATTTAATTGTGACTTACAGAATTCTTCATGGTACTTTTTCATCCAACCTCTATAGTATACTCCCACGGAATACAGATGAGCGCCTACGTGGACATGAGTATAAATTGAGCAAAGAAAATTTTAAAACACGTACCCGACAAAACTTTTTTTGTAACAGAGTTTTCTATACTTGGAATAATTTACCCTCGAGTGTTGTTCGCGCACAGTCAGTAAATGTATTCAAAAACCGACTCGATGACTTTTTTAATGAAAACTAAAAGTTTATTTTTAGTGCTTTGTTTGCATTCTGTTATTTGCTAATTACTTATTTAATAATTGTCTTTGTTATTAAACTTGTAATTTTGGGCTTAATAGGATTCATTCGTCAGCCCTAATTTATTTTTAATAATAATAATAATATGTTCCATCAGATTGTAATTTATAAATCTCCTTCTTACTTGTCTAATAAAATAAAGTTTCGTTCAGATGTGCATAATCTTAATATTCGGTTTCGTGGGCGTATCTCACCCCCATCTTATTATACTTCTATTTTCAGGAGATCTTTTACTTATAACGTTTATGTGATGTATATTGAAATCCCAGACAAATTTAAAAAGATGACTGTAAGTAAATTGAAGAAAGCATACAGAGAGTTTCTTCTTAGAAATAATATTTAAAAAGTACAATATATATTTTTTAATGGTTTTGGTATAAAAGGACTGATGCTTTGATTACTGTTCATCAGTCTTTTTTGCTACATTTCTGTATTTTTTTTGTAATTTGTTTATTTATTTGTTAGCAAATAAAGCTTTATTATTAATAATATAAATTAAGCCAAGTCTTTAAAAATACCAAGCCAAGCCTAACTTTCTTTTCAAGCCAATTTAAGCTTTTTATTAAAAAAGCTTGAGCTACCAAGTTTTTCAAGCCAAGCTTCCAAGCTTTTGAACGAATTATTTACATTGACTATTTACAATAATCTACAAAATTTATTTAAAGTATCTACTAGATAATCCATATAATATTATATAAGGAAATTCTTAGAAATTGAGACTCCTAAAAAGCAGAGGTAATTTAGGTATAAAATCTTATCATTATCGATCTTCATTTATTTTTAACATATCTTATAACAGAGCCTAGCATTATTTGGATTTGGATTAAATTTTTTCTGCTGCGGAAAGGCTTTTTTTAAGAATCTCTGTTTACTTTGTAAATGTCTTTCTAAAGACTTAGTTATTATTAGTTATTAATTATTGTTGATTTTCTTGTACACAGAGTGCATACTGCTGTTTTGTTTTAGACTAATTTTTAAAAAATTAGAGACCTTTATGTTTTAAATTGTTTTTCGGGACTTAATTCGAATAAGTTTTTCGCAAGGACTGCTAGAAGACAATTCTTCCGCCTCCTTTACCACATATTCTGATTCGCTGTCTTGAAAGGGTTGATAGAGCTTGAAGAAGCTTGGTAAACAAGTCAAGATTGAAAAATTAAGCCAAGCCAAGCGTTTTGTTTTAAAAAAGCTTGATTTTAAAGCCAAGCCAAGTTTTTTCTTTTCAAGCCACGCTACTTGGCTTGGTGAAACGCTGAACTAAAGTTGGTATTTTTTTTTATTTAACGAAATATGGTGGACATACCAACATACGAATTTCTTTGAAATTGCGTCATGTTGTAAAAAATATATTTCTACCACCTTTAGTTAACTAAAATTACCAAAGGGCGATAGACTGAGCTAGTACCCATCTGAGTTATAGCATTTAACTAAAGTTGGTAATTTTTTTTATTTAAAGAAGTATGGTGGATATACCTATATGATTTTTTTAGAATTTATTTCATGTTGAACTAATATCTTCATTGACGAATCTCTAATGATATCGACTTATAAGCAAAATAATAACGAAATACATTTAATTATCATAGGTTTTATTAATATTAAAAACACAATTATTATAAATGTTTGAATTGGTGGTTTGAATCTGGGTACTCTCTGTTTTATTTTGCATTGTGCTCTGATAAAGACTGAACTTGCTAGTACTTGATGAAATTATCCTTATGGATTCAAGCATCTGATGATGATGTTCAACGTCCAATTATAAGTAAGGTTTTATTGACTGACTATTACTGTATCCAGTAATTTTAATGAGCTGTTGTTCACCAACTCCTTCCTTGGCCAAATTTGAAACAGCTGTTGCTCTTGCAGAATGATTGGTTATTTTAACTTTTTCAGTATCAATTCCTATGCCAGAGTCTGCTGTTTTAAACCATGAAGATACAATGCTCTTACCAACGGGGCTATTCTTGTACCATCCTTTCGAATTGGATTGAGTCCAGTATGGGTTTGGTGAAGAATAATCTGTCTGTCTGAATAAGATTTCCCCTTTTTTCATCGGACACATTTGTGGATTGTCGAAATTTGTAATCAACCATTTACTATCCGACAGTTTTTTAGAACCTCCTTGTATGGTTTTAGTGAATATTGGATTATATTATATCCGACCTTTTGGGTTTCCGAAATTATCATTTTCTCTTTTGAGAATATCCTTCCCCTCCTCTCCATGCCAACTCATGTGAAACTATGTGAAAAAATTTACGCTGCAATCCATCTGGAGTATTTTCATCCCACATTTTAATAATTTTTTTGTATTCGTCTTTGGTTAAGGCTGAAGCACTCACTTTTCTTTTTAATGGGTCTCTCTGTAATGTTTTGCGCTTAGCATCGCGTGCAGCTCTGGCGATCACAAATTCCACATCAGAAAACGAATTAAATTTTGTTTTATATTTTTCGTAATAAATTTCTTGTAACTGCTTAGCAGTAGAGTTCCACATCACTTTGACCACACTTTCCTTATAATCTTAAAAAAATTTCTTTTTCATATTAAATGCGTAGTCCTCCAGAATAATAGCCAGCTGTACTACACTCATACACTCATCAATATTATACAACTTTTCGTCACAAAATTCAACAAACTGTTTCCATAAGCCGGAGATACACATGCAATCAAATTGGGATAGTTGCTTGTATTCCAGCAGCTTGCATGTGCCAGTAGCTTTCAGACTCAAGATACATTTGCAAGTAAAATTGCATGTCAGTAGCTCGTACGTGTCAGTAGCTTGAAGCCAGAGGATACATTTGTCAGTTAAAATGTATGCAATCCTTCAGGAAAGGTTCGAAGTGAATTAAAAAGTGCAATATTGTCACTTGCAACAGAATGCGTATATCAAATAATACAACCGAAACGGAACAGAATTGATATAAGCATTTTCACGTGCTATTTCGTACTCTCTATATAAACGAAGAAAGCAAGTCGTGATGACGATCACAACTTGCATGCAAGTACTGGCGTACTAGTACATGTCGTACTAGTACATGTCGTCTGTGTTCACACATTCAATTTGGCATGCAATTTGTATTCCCCACCACCCAACTTGCCAAAAAATCAAATCTTATTTAATTAATTTTTATACAAGCTACTTTCGAGCAAGTTAACAGATACACATGCATGTAACTTGCATATTCAAGTAGTTGGCATGCTAGTGTACAAGCTACGGGCATGTGTATCTCCGGCTACACTTGATTTTGATTTTCGGGTGTTATCTGGTGTTATATTTTGAATATCTTGTCTAATTACTTGTTGACTTTATTTACCAAATCGGGACATGTAGCTATACACTTATTAAACTCAAGGTACAGACGTTTTAAACTAGTAATTATTAAGCTTTGTGATAGAACCGGTTTAACAAAAATGACAAATCAACATATGTCAAAAACAACAATACCCTGATCAACATGACAAGAAGTGAAATTAATTTAAAATGTCAGGTTGGATTAATATTTTTTTTACAAATTATGGTGAGAAATGGTGTGAAATTTTCTTACCCAATACCACGCAAGCTTAAATTATTCCTGGAAATTTTCTTGAGGGAAAATATTCGTGCCCTCAAGAAAATTTGTGGAAATAATAATTTAAGCTCTTGTGATATTATAAGTGATAATTTAACCAGCCCTTTATATATTTAAAAAAAAAATAAAAATTAGTTACCAAACTTAGTCTAAAATCAACTTTTGTGTATGTATGCATTACAAATTTTACAACAAAACAATTTAAGTACCTTCAAACCGACCAGAGTCAGCGAAATCTTATTTCTGACTTCCTTTAAAACTGAAAAATGTCTGGTCTCATAAATTAGAAAAAAAAAAGAAGTTCCTCTCTTGTTGAAAACTTAAATTCGGTTGAGAAAAAGTTGGATTCTTTCTAACCCGTTAACTTTATTTGCAGAAAACTGCCACGGAGCACAGTACTTCGGGAAACTCATAGGGAAACTTTCCGAGTTACATCACGGCGTCTCTGGCGAAGTTTATGCAGTGGATGCAAGGACTTTATACATCAAGGATTTCACTTATGACGGCCAAGGACCTGGTAAGATCTTTTAGAATGATATAGTTCGCGATTTCCGTGGAAATATTCTAATTTGCGAACTACAAATAGCGCCATAGGTGTACTTTCTGAGACTATGGGGTCTATTCTATAACAATTCCTTTATATTTAACGGCCTTTAAAAATATTGGCGGCCTTTAAAAACATTTCCGTATTCGTTAATTTACTTCGGTCATTATTTAAATAGATTTCTTTAAGATAGTCCTCTAATGTATTTTAAAGATCCGTTTAAATAATGACAGAAGTAAAGAAGAAAATATTTTTAAAGGCCGTTAAATATAAAGGAATTGTTACAGAATAGACCCCACTAGCATTGAAAGTAACAGTAAAATAATAGTACGAGAGCGTAAAGACGTTATTTATTTCACACGTTGCTTCTTTTTCGTTATACTGACGTTGGAAACATAAACAAAAAGAAAAACGTTTGAGAAAGACACATTATTGTTCTATTTATACAGGATGATCCATTAATGTATAATTGCTCGATATTTCAATTTGTTATAGACACGCAAATAAGTTTCAAATATAAGTTATATGGTTTTGACAATATTTTTGAATATACAGGGTGTTACGCTTGTGTCTGGCAAATAAAAATGTATATTTTTAAATGGAACACTTCATATTTCATTTTAGTTTTAGAATGGTTTGGCGAAAAAACAAGAAACAACAAAAAAAAACTAAAACCTAAACCTCTAAAACATAAATCCTAAAAACCCTAAAACCCCTAATAACTAAAAAAACTAAAAACCTAAAAAACCGAAAAAAAAAACTAAAAAAAACTTAAAATCCCTTAAAAATTCTTAAAAACCTAAAAAAAAAACCTTTAAAAAACTAAAAACTAAAAGAAACTAAAAAAAGAAGTAAAAAATAAAAACCTTAAAAAACCTTAAAAACCTTTAAAAAAAAGTTAAAAAAATAAAAAACTAAAAAACCGAAAAACACCTTAAAAAAAACCTTTAAATTCAAACATCTTAAAAAAAAAATATTACAGCATTGCCAAGTAATTAATTTTTTTCGTTAAATTAGAGAATAATGCAGACCCCAAATAAAATTATCATAATTTGGTTAGGTTAGTAATGATTTTAAAATTGTTTAAAATGCAGACTTATAAGTTACCAACCTAACGAATAGTCATGATAGAACTGGTTATTTTTATACAGAGAGTTTTGAAAAATATCATAGAAAAGGCTTATTTTAAGTTCAATTTACAAAAATTGTTTCAAATACAGAAAACTATGTATTATTTTAGCATTAAATTAGTTATAAATCTACCTATCCAACGATAGTAACAGGTTAGCCAATTACACATACAATAAAAACTCCCAGGCCGGATATTTTGGTAAGTAATAGAGATATGTTAATTCTGTAAAAGCCAGGTCACAGAGCACTAAGAGAGCTTCAGTTTTAGATATAAATTGATTTTAAATAGGTCAATATGTATATGGCGCAGCGCTCAATAATTTTTTTTCGATAGGAGATCTTTCTTGTGTGGCGCATCTTCTAAAAAATGCATTTATAAGCAGATTTTGTTCGATGAACTAATTCGTTAAATCTAGCCGTTTTTGATATACAGAGTGAGTCACTTAAAACAGTTTTATCCTGTTTTTCAGCATTAATCATTGAATTTTAAGAAAATGCTAAAACAGGTCGATTTGTATTCCAAATTAAAAATATTTGTACAATACAGATATCTGTCATGTGTCAACCCCCTCTCTTGCAGTTTACCACAACTTAATTTTAAATAAGTAATGTACCACGTATAGAAAGAACATCATTGAAAATGTAATTTAATGAGGGATTCAGAAATATTTCTGTACATTGCGTTACTTAAATTTTATTGCCCTCTAGCGGGATAAAAAACTACTACGTATTATAGAGGGTGATATTAAAATGTGTAGTAAGTACAATCATCATTAAAAACATAATTTTATGGGGAATTTAAAAATATGACTGTTCATTGTGATACTTTTAATTGTACCGCCCTCTATCGAGATAAAAAAGTACGTATTATAAAGTGTGACATCTTATTTAAAAGCAAATTTAATTACTAATTAAATGTATCACATAACTATAATATAAATATCCTCCATATTGCACTTGCAATAGTTTGAAAATTAGTCATGCATTATTTTAAACATTATTGCTAACTTTATTTTGTTGCAAGTGCAATATAGAAATATGTATTATTAATGTTATGTGGTGCATTGAATAAGTAATTAAATTAGCTTTCAAATGAAGTGTCACACTTTATAATACGTTACAGATTTTTTATCCCGATAGAGGACGCTAAAATTAAAAGTATCGCAATAAACTGTCATATTTCTGACTTCTCTATAAAATTACCTTTTCAATGATGTGCCGTACATGGTACATTCCTTATTTAAAATTAAGGGTTTGAAGAAGTGGAAGGGATGGGGTTGACACATGACAGATGTCTGTATTGTAAAAATGTGTTTAATTTGGAATAAAAATCATCCGGTTTTAGCATTTTCTAAAAATCCAATGATTAATGCCGAAAAACAGGATGAAACTGTTTTGAGTGAGCCACTCTGTATATAAAAAATGGCTAGATTTATTGAATTAGTTACAAATGCATTTTTCGCCACATGCCCTATATAATAAAGATCCTCCCATCAAAAAAAAAATAATAATAAGCGCAGCGCCACCTACATATTGACGTATTTAATATTAATTTATATCTAAAACTGAAGCTCTCTTAGCGCTCTATGACCTGGTTCTTACAAAATTAAAATATCTCTATTACTTACCAAAATATCCGGCCTGGGAGTTTTTATTGGTACACCCTGTATACAGGATGACCCATCAGTACGTAATTAATCGATAACTGTTTTATTATTGGAGTAACGAAGAAATTTTTTATACAGAAGTTGTTCCCCCATTTTTTGCAATTATTCTTAAATATATAAATGAGGGGGAACCAATTTTATACTTTTTTAAACCAAACATCCTGTAGGTGTAGGCATAACACTTTTTGTAATTTTCATATATTTAAAGAATTTTAATTCATTTGCTATAATGTATTCAGGGTGTATCCATTTAATTAATTTCTTTTTTTATTTTGTATGGCATTCCGTATACCTAAAGACTTTCTTTCTTGAGATTTTGATGGTTTTATCATGAAAATTTACATAACTTTTTACATTTTTCTAATTGCCTTTTAAAAATATTGACTTCTTTAGGGTAAAATACTAATTTAATTTTTTGCTGTCACTTATTAATTTAGTTTAGTTTCTTGATGTTTCTTTTAAAGTTTTTTTGACGAGTAAGTGTACAAAGTTTTTTATTCTATGTTTTAGTAATGATAGAGTTTATTGTATTGTAACAGCTCTGTTTTTCTTTTATATAGTCTTTGATGATGGCTTAAGAGGCCGAAAGCACTCAGACGAATTATTATTTTATGGAGTTTTTTTAAATAAAACTCAATAATTATACACTTTAAATACCTTCTCGCTTCATTTCTTATAAACAAAATAGATAAAAATAATCAATTGACCACCCCTAGTTACAATCACACAGCAAGTTACTAAGACGTTTTGAACGAAATTAAGAAGAATGTTGAAACTTTTGATGTCTTATTAATATCATCGAAAAGGGCCATTAAAATTGTTTTTGCTGGCCCTCTCATTATCACAAACGTAATTATAAGTTGTTTAGGGTGTTATGTCGTAGCGAATGTTGTCGATCAGATAAATTAATTTTTTATTGTTAATTTTAGCATTAAATTTGAAAATCACCTTTCAAATGAGGTATCGCAAGCATCTATTTCCTATTTAAAAATTTAGGCTGTCACTCGAAGGGTGCTGTAGGTAGGGGTGAAATTTTCACTTTGCAAGATGTCATTTTATAATCTAAAATTTACGTGTTACGGGATTTTATATAAATATGCGCAGTATTAGAGCTATTCCCTACTCCATGTTGCACACTGTATTTTCAAAGTTTCTGAGATCGTTTCAAATGCAAATGACTCTTTAATAAACACTATTCTCGAAGATATCGATCGCTAAACAAATTTGTTTTTCAAGGCTGTTCAGAAATTCATGAGAAAGTTTTTAAATGAATTATCATATTGACTATATTATAAGGCAGTTTGAAAATAACAAGAAAACAAGTCCTCAAAAAATTAATTTGATTTTTTGTGTCTTTTGGCCACCGACAACAATTCCTTTATTCTCCAGAGTACCTTCTTACATAAATTATTTATTAGACGTCTGTCAAATCTTATTTCGCGTTTAGATGTTATTTTCACCCCAATTTCACGTGAAAATATCCCTGAGGAAAATTTCAGAATTTTTCACGCCATTAACATTTTTTTCTTTGCCGAAATTCCTTTTTGCTGGATGGAAATTGGAGAGAACACAGTCAATAGAGGATAATTTATTGACAATTTTGCCATAAAAATTCCACTCCGCCTTTCGTCTGGATGCATAAATCAATCAAATATTTTACTTTATTGCCAGTTCGGGACTGCTACAAAAATATAGTATACAGGAGGTTCGTATTTAAATAAAGCAATATGCAGATGCTAGAACCATGAGTTGAATTGAACATAATGTTGAGATAAAAAATACCAGATCAAACATACAAGCATACAATTTATTAATTAAAAATAAACGGCAACCGGTTTCGGCCTAAGGGCAATCATCAGGACTAAAAGGAAAAAACCCTTAAATTAGGTACGTGATAAAATAGGTTTTAGTGTTAAAAGACTTTAAAAGTAAACAACTGGCACAGTAGGATATTATTTACGGTTAGTTGTAAACTCGTGTCAAACAAAACTTAACCAGAATTTATATTAGTAATTATTTTATTATATATAACAGGTTTGATCGGAGCTAACCTCAATGTGTCGGATACAAGAAGAAGTCAAACTGCAAAAAATCCATTCAAAGTACGTGTACCAATAGAAATAAGAACATAAAGCTGCTCATTTGCCAAAATATGGCACTAGCTTTCCATGTACG